AGATATTGAAATCATCAACCATATAAATCAATCAAAACATCGTCAATCGTAGGGTTTGACTTCCCCGGAACTAGAAATAAAAACCTAGCCTAACATAATAAATAATAAAAGAAAGAGAATAAGAATATCCCCTTTCGTGCGTGAGTGCGGCTTCCCTCCGCGATCTATCGGCTTCTCGCGTATCTCTTTTCCCGTGCGTCTGCGTGACTGATTCTCTGTTGCCGCGTTCCTTTCTCTGCGTGGATATCCCCGATAGTGGCTGCTGTGCGTGAGTTTCTGTTGGCGTGAATAAATAGTGGTTGCCCCTTTAATTCCTAAAAGCCTCCAATGAAAAGTAGTTTTGCTTATTGAATGACTCTTGCTCCACAATTAATTTCCTTACGTATGTGGCTAAAGTCTCTTTCTCTCTCCTTAGTTGCCAAAATTTGTGACTCTCCATTGCTTGTCCTCCAGCACGTTGATTTTAATTGTGGAGTCAAAAAATCCTAATCTCCAAGTCACCCAACTAATTAAATTTTAATTACATATTGGGCCCTTTTGCACATATGGGATGAAAATGGGATGGTATGGGGCCGACTATGGGGTACCTCCGTATTCTGCAGGCTGGAATTTCGTTTATTGATACATCGCCCGTAAAAATACTCCAATATCCTAAAAATTAACCACAAAAATATCAAAGTACAAATCCTTCCAAAGAAATGAATAAGTCGGAGAACATACAAGTGCGGCAAATTAAGCATATATAAATACGCTAATAAATATATAAAATACACACTTTTTCTGACTAATCACATCACCAGCACACAGAGAACCTGCGCAAGTTAGATGCACGCGGCCCATGGAGAACGGATCTTGGCCAACTCGAATAACCACTCTAAAAAAGACGACCTCCGAAGAAATGTTCAAACACCTCCATCTGAGCTCGGGGGCCTGTATGTTGGCATCTAAGTTGGTATAGAACAGTTTAGAGAAATCCAGAATGCAGGACTCCCAGACCAGTCTCGTTGGACGTGACGCCCAACTCGACCTCATCCCACAACAATAGACAATCTGAACTTGAAGACTGGCAGACAAAGTGACAACGAGCAGGTGTAGAGTCCGGGCTCGAAGTCAGGAAGAAAGTTTAATCACGAAGTTAAGGAGAGAGCCCGAGCTCAAGACAAAAAAGAGAGAAGCCCAAATTGACGAAGTCATGTCGGAAGTTCGATCTCAAAGATCTCAGGAATCAAAATTCAAAGAAGTGCACCCCACATCAAAGAATAATAAAATAATGACCACTTGCAATATAATGATAGCCGATGGGATGTGTCAACCAACTATGTAGACCTACGACCTGTAGGCTCCTAAAGCATCATGTCCTCATTAAGGACTCGTCAATTGACATGTAATGGTCGATAATCATCATTTAAGAGTCAACTACGCCTCATTTAATGTCCGTCATTCTAGTTTACAGTGCAACATGGATCGATGAACAGTAGGGGAATAGCACTTGGGAATGTTTAGCTATAAATAGTCCTAGGTTTCATTTATGGTGGGTAAGGTGTAGTAAGCAAATATGAACAAGGCCAACCATAAAAAATAACCGAATGCTGCTTGCAAATAGCCAGAAAACTGTAAGAAAAAACAAACACAATTATTTGCAATAAATTCATACAACAGCCTAAAGGTCCGACCTCGAAGTTCTCAGAGGCCGGCCTCATTCAAGCCTAAAATTCTCTACTTTCACCATCCAGTTCTGTTTTAATTTTACGATTATTTCTCCAATCTGTAATTGATTCTTGATTAACCATTGATACAAACCCACATATCAACAGTATAATACATCGACAAATAATGTAGGTTTATGCCATATTTCTAAGTTTTTTATGTGAAAAATCAGACAATCAATGTGGTGCATAAATTATATGAATAATATACTAAACATTTTCTTCGGATATGCAATTCATGATATGGATCAACGAAAAAAAAGCGGATAGTACTAAATTATGCGGCTTTCGATTTGGATGTGCGATTCTTAAATACGAGAATATGTTATGCATAATCGTTAATTATACGGCGTTATAGATTTGTATATGCCAGTCGTAAACTATGCAAACATTTGACGCATAATCATTAAATATGCGACGTTTGATTTGGATATGCGATTCCTTAATATGGGAAACGTTATCGCATATGGTATAGAAAACGGTATATTTGGATATGCGAGACGTAAACTATGTGAAAACATATCTCATAACAAAAAAATGCGACGTTCGATTTAAATATGTGGTTCTTAAATATGCGAATTGTTTGAATTTGATATGAGAGACACAAACTATGTGAAAACATGTCGTATAACATAAAATATGCAACATTTGATTTGGATATTCAATTCTTGAATATATGAAAAATTCTCTCATATGGTAAATTATGCAGTGAATTTGGATATGCGAGCCGTAAACTATGCAAAAATATGTCGCATGCTGAAGGAATGTCTCTGAGGGAGTCATTCCAAGTTGCAGCTGTGATTGAAAAGCTGCCGCCGGGTTGGAAAGACTTCAAGAACTACCTCAAACATAAGAGGAATGAGATGAGTCTTGAAGACCTGGTTGTTCGTCTTCGTATTGAGGAGGACAACCGTAATTCATCTGGAAAAGCTCAGATGATGGAAGCTCGTGCTAACTTGCTGGAGCAATGAAACTCGAGCAAAAGGAAGTCCCTTGACAAAGGGAAGCAATCTGCCAAGGTTTGGAAGTTTACCGGAACTTGCTACAACTTTGGAAAGCCAAACCACATGGCGAAAGACTGCAAAAGGCCAAAGAAGGCTGGGCCAAAGAAAGGTAAACCGAGTGCCCTTGTGGCTGAACACGGCACTGTGCCGGGTGAACTGACCGACTTTGATATGTCGGTTGTGGTGTTTGAAGCAAATTTGGTGGATAACCCAAGGGAGTGGTACATCGATACTGGTGCCACTCGTCATGTGTGTTCCGAATTATGCAATGAATTTGGATATGCGAGTCGTAAACTATGCAAGAATATGTCGCATAATTATAAAATATGAGACATTCGATTTATATATGTTATAACAAAATATTGAAAAAGTTCTCGAATATGGTAAATTATGCGGTGAATTTGGATATACGAGTCGTAAACTATGAGACAATATGTCGCATCATCATAAAATTACGACGTTCAATTAGGATACGCAATTATATAATATGCGTAAGTATTTTGCATATTTGTTAACTATGTGTTCGATTTGGACATGCGAGACGTAAAATATGCAGTTGTCCCATAATTATTAAATATGCTGCATGAATTTGGATATGCGATAAAAATATATGCGAAAAAAATTCGCATAACAAAAATTATGCGGTGGATTTGAATATGCGATTGATAATTATGTGAATGTGTTTTGTATTGTTAATTATGCGTCTAGCTTGGATATTCGTTAGTATATATACGACAAATAATTATTTGGTTCATTTGAATAGGCGATTTTTATATTGCTTATAGTTTCGTCAACTATGGGGACAATAAAAGGAGTTGTTATAAAATAACTAGTATTTGATCCTGTGCACATGCACAAAAATTTAAATTATTATAACTTATAAGTTACGTGCATGTGTATAATTGTAAAATTATAAGTTAAATAATAATATCACATTTTATAAATTTTGTTGTTAATAAAAATAAACATCATAAATATTCAAATTCATCACTATATTTATTATATAAAATAAAATAGGTAATTATTTTTCATTAAATTCAACTAATATAATGTACAATTTTGCATGAAAAATTTAAATTTGAATGAACTGCTGTAAAGATTTCTATTACAAAAGATGACTTTTCTTATATATATTTTGCGTTGTATCTATAACATATCAATACTTAATACTTTTGCATGTAAATAGTCAGCATATAAATTAAAAAAATATTTTTAACCATTCAAATTTATGGGTTTAAACATTATCTTGTAACCAAGCAACAATTACATTCTCCAAATATAGAGAAATAAAAAACGGTTATTGCTTGCAACTGTTACAAATCCAAAATATAGTAAAATATAGGTGGGTGATTGTATGGAATAAATTAAAAGTAAAAAAATATTGTAACAGTTTTTTGATGAGGTCATAAAATTTTTTATTAAATGCAACCTATTTTTATTAAATGATCTCATATTATTATTAATTGAAGGCTGAATAAAATTAAATGAATATATATATATAAAGAGGAGCAACAAAGCATTAAATTATATTATCATACATTAAATTTTATTCTCCCTCCAAAATTTTCAACATTCAATTTTATTTTTAAGTTACAAAATTGGATTTAAATTTTAAGTCACACTCACTCATAAAAATGACCGGGTGTATTAGCATAAAGAAAATGATTGCAACGACTCTTCCATAGCAATTACTTGATCAAAATCAATTTAAGGAATTATTTTTTTAATTCATATTTTTTTTATGAATTAAATTATAATTTATTTTTGTTTTTATTTATATTATTATTTTTTTAAAGTATTCTTTTCTATGCAAATGCACATGTTGATTATTAGTAAATGTGTAAAAAAAAGTGCATGTATTAATAGGGTTTAAAAGTAATTTGCCCTATACTCTACAACCTTATCAATATATAAGTTGATCCTTATCTCATTTATGAATCTTATTTATATTACACATGAATTTGATAATATAATCTTTTATGCAACAATACGAATTTATATTTTATTCAATGTGAATAACATGACATAAAACAAATCCATATAAGATGTAAATTGCACAACAATTGATTACCACTAAACATAATTCTTTTATTTAAAACCAAAATAAGATAAGAATGTAGCAGACTACGTACAACAGACCTAACCCCAAAACTTCTGATCTCACAATTTAAAGAATGTTCCAAATATTGCACTAACACAGTACAAGGTACTGCAAAATATTGCTAACAAAAATACAAAATATTGCTAACAAAAATACAGAAGGTAGAAAAAAAAACTAGTATTGGAACATTTAAATTAGAACAGCGGCCCAAAGAGTAAGCCCAGTAAGAATAACTGAAGCTTCATATACAGAGTTCCATCTGGCGGAGGATGTCTCATCTGCCGCAGGCCCCTGAGCGCTTTCCGGCGTTGCGGAACTCGAAGGGACGCCGGCAGAAGGAGCGGCCGCCGCCGGTGAACTTGCCGGCGTGGGGCTGCTCACCGGACTAGGTGGAGGGTTCGACGGAGATGGGCTCGCAGACGGCACACCTGCCGACTGATTAGGCGGCGCCGGAGATACCGCCGGAGAAGAAGACGGGCTGGCCTCTGGAGAAGTAGCCGGCACCGCTGGAGAAGCTTCTGGAGACTTTGACGGGGATGGACGAGGGCTCGCCAGAGAATGTGCCGGCGCAGGAGATTTTGCCGGCGGCGAGTGGGTTGGGAAGGAGCCGGAGGGCGCTGGAGAAGGTGTGCCATTAATGGACTGTGCATCGGCGGAATATTGGTTGACAGATAAGAGCAGGAAAACGAAGGCAAATAATTTGCTCATTTCCCGAGACTGAATATTCCGGCGACTGAGATTTTCAGAATGTTTGGTTGGGAAGAGAATTAGTTAATTAATATTGATAATTGTGCACTGTTATCTGATGGGATTTTGGGTAAGAGAGGTAAATAAATATAGGTGAATTTGATACGAAACGATGCGTTGAGAAGGATTATGACCGTTGGGAGAGTTGTGGGGTCCATTTGTTCCCGTTTGATAAAAGGTAAATATAACCGTTGCACAGTTATGTCACCGGCTGTGTCTAATCTTATGACGATTTGTTGTTTTTTCACTTTCATGAATGAACCACCAGTTCACCACAATGTTTTAATCTAATACTTTTCATTTTACCGTTACATGTGCGTTATATCTTAAAATAAAACACAAATGATGCAATTAGTCTATCTAATTATCATTCACATTCATCACAAACAATCATACATGTATAAATATAAAATATTGCAGGAGCAAATAATATTATGATTGATTGTATAAATTTAATGTGGTACTGCATAAACATATATAATCTAAGATAAAGTGATACTAGAATTGAGGATGACACAATTTTTAGGTGTTTCAAAATTAAGGACCGAAAACGGGCTTCATTCTCTCTAATTTCCCTGTAGCAGGAAACCCTTCCCTCTAATTGGCTCGGTGCGCGCCTCTCCAACGACGGGAGTTCCTCAGCCGTGAAGTTTTGTCCAACACCTAGGATGGCCGAGGCTCGCCTGGAGGTCGACGATTCCCTCGTATGAGTGGTTTTCCTCTGCTTCAGGTGGCCACGGTCGGACCTTGTCGGGTTTCTCTGGCTTCTCGACGGCAGTGTTGCGGTCGGCGGTGTTGATGGTCGCCCTTGCAGCGGCCGAGACTGAGCTATGGCTCTCTCCCTTTGGGTGGTGTCCGACGCTTGGGGCTGAAATCAGAGTTTCTAGCGAGCTTCCCGATGAGGTGGCGTTAACCCATCTGCCAGTGTACGACGCGTTGCTTTTGGTGGCGAATCTTGATTGTCGATTGCGGCGGGTGGTTGGGGTTTGGGACTGGTGCTTTGGTTTCCCCGACTCCTGTTCTGCCCTGTTGTTTGGTAAGCAGGGGCCACCGGCGGGTGTGGCCTTGACTTCGGTCGTTCGGTGGCAGTCACCTGTTGGGCTGGGGGAACTTTGGTGCAGGTCCTCTAGTGCAGTTCAAGTGGTGGCCTTCTGGGAAGGTTTTGGGTCTTTGGTCCAGTTCTAGTTAGCCATTATGGGAGTTTCTTCTAGTTCCATGATTGGGCCGAGGAGTTGACCTTCTTAAGTGGTTGCCTTAGGTGTTGGATCGCTTGGAGTGTTTAGGAGTGGCTCCTTTGCTAGTGGGAGGACTTTAATCTAACTATTAGTTATTTTTCCTGTGCTNTGTAGTTCTCCTAACTAGATTCAACTGGGTAGCTGATTTTTTGGGTTGTTTAAGTGTGGTTTAGTATGTAAATTAGGTTGTTATTTATAAAAGTTTATTGATCCGAAAAAAAAACTACATCAAAATTAAATGTTGTAAAATATGTATGCCTAACATATTTATCACAAGCTAACATGTTAAGTCATTCATAGTAAATGCTATTCTCAGAAAATAATGTATCTAAATGTCTTATAATGTTGTATGTGAATTTCTCTGGACTGGCCCACACACCCTCTGGGTCGTGTCACTCTCCATTGTGCCAACATCATTCTAAGCCCAGAGTTCCAAGAGGAAGACCAAACGTTGTATGCCAACCCACAAGTATCTTGTCGATCCGATTCTAGCCTTAGTGTCTATCCACCAATTGATGCGCAATGTGAATGAAACTGGTAAAGTAACCGCCTAACCAGTCCCATCGTCAAAACCAACTTCGACACGTATCACGCACGAGACTCTACTTGACATGTGCTCTTTGTTAGTTTGTATACTAAAAGCTTGACTTTATTTAGAAACGTTTCTTTTCAGTCCATTTTTGAATGTGAATCATGTTTAGTTAAAAGTGCTTGTTCTTTTATTTTACATTGTAAATAATTTAGTTCGATGTGGCAAACAGAAAATCATACTATCAGTTTCTTGTAAAATATAAAGTATGGCCCACTACCTAGATTGGATTGAACAAACTATTGTGAAAGGTTGTAGAGTGATTTCAAGTTAGTTTATTTTCACCAATGAATTGCACCAGTACATCTCGGATGTATTGAACGAATCACAAAGAATAGAATTATTTTATACTAACCAAGTAAATAATCTAGACCTTAGTTATTGCTCGTACTCTTAAGGTGTAAGATAATGAATGGACGTGTGCATTTGATATTTGTTACTTTAATTTACAATAAAGTGTGATCCAATTATTGGGTCAGTAGACTGGGTCATTGGTAATATTATTAAATGCATATTGTTTTGTTGAGATTATTTACATTCACTTTATCTCGGTGCACTGGTTGATGACGTTCTCAAAATGAGCCCAAGGCGATTTATTATGTCAAGCCATGCAGACAGATTAAGTTCTAACATAATATGAAGGTTGAGTGGTACTAGTTTTGGTACAAGAAGTTGATTAATTATACTGCCAATAATTAAATTAATCAACGAGCATTAGATCTTAAATAAAGGAAGATAAATCAAGTGAATAAATCTGGAGACAAATTAATTATTATTCGTGGTTGATTTAGGAAGTTCACTAATATTCCTTTAGTGGAATGAAATATTATTTGTGTGTGATGAGTGTAGGTAGAGTGTAACGCTCCACTTATCTTTAGAAAACACTAAGTTTTCAGAAATAATTTGAACTTTTCAAAAACTTTTTAACTTTAAAACTCTTCTCGGGCACTACTAAAAAACTCTTTCTTTGTCTAAACTTGCTGAAATTGATTTTTCCTTTTTAAAATCTTTACTTAAGCCTCACACTTAAGTTCTTAGGGAACTCACTTCCCAAACTTCTATCTTTGCTTCTTAATTATTCGAGACATAATAAAACTTGTAATTATATGAAGTCTCAAAACATCATATTCATAGTCTCAATCTCAATCTATGAAATAAACCGAAAACAAGCATCAAGTCTGAAAAGTCTGCGTAAGCATAAAATAAATAGCATAAATGGACCACCCTCACCCTTTCGTGTTCGCCGCCAACTTCTCAACCTGAAAGGTGGAAAATAGTGGGGGTTGAGCAAAACACTAGCTCACCGTGGGATCATACTATGCGATTATTCAATATAATAACAGATACCATAATATTAGTATGAACATGAATAAACTGATCTTATTTGGTTGCCTCTCACAGGCAGGGTTAACTGATTTTCCTGTCACAGGCACTGCCCCTTACAAGCAGAATATAACTAATTTGTCCCTCACAGGCGAGAATACTCACATACATACATCAATCATAATATCATGTGATTATAAAGAATAAGACATAGTATAGAAACACCCCACCTTAAATTGGATGAACGAATATGTTGATGTCTCATTGAAAAGCTCGAGGGCTCGACTCTCGAAATATTCATTTTAAGAATTTAACTTACATAAATATCTCATTTTTCTTGATAATTAATAAATTACAAACTTAAATAAAATTTATTTATCTTAATGATTTCATAATTGATATAATAAATTAGATTAATCTTGAAACCCTTGACTAAGGGTAAAATAAGGCTTGAAAAAAGGTTCTCGGAGCTAAGATCAAGGTTCGGCTCGAAAACAGGTTCACCGACACGCGGCTCGGTGCTGGCTGAGGTCTGACCGCGTCTGGTACTGGTCGCCAGGCTGCGGGTGGCGTAGGTTGCATGTGCGCTTCCTGCTCGACGCGACCCAGGGCTACCCAATACGCTGCGGCCTAGCCCTGCGACGTGTCAGACCTAGGTCTCTGGCGCTGGGAACCTTGACTGCCGGAACGGGTTTGCTTGATAGGCTACGAGTCTAAGGCTTGCGCAGAGTTTAGCAATTATAATCCTTTTAAGTTCGTTTTGGAGATGTCATCACCCTAGTGCACAAGTGACCGAGTATAATCAACAACACACCATGTAATTATTATTTTCCAACCCACCGAGCCTACTGACTTAACGAATAAGTCTCACACTTTGATGAATTAAGGAATTAATTATTTAAAACACGTGTATGTTATTATCATTCGGGTTTAGAGTACTAGTGATATCATGATGTTTAGTTTATTTAGTGGGCCAACATAAAATAAACTTTTTCTCTGTGGTCCAATTCAATACACACAAAGTGTACTAGTATAATTTATTAATTAAGAAAAGATTAAAAATCAAAATTATACTATAACCATCCCGATAGGTTTGTCCATTCCTATCTCGGTTACGAACCTTATTTATATTGTACAAAAAACCGATAATATAATCTTATATGCAACGATGTCAGATTATATTATCTTCAATGTCAACACCAACACTGGAAGGATTTTTCTCATCCTTGGCAGCATCATCTTCTTCGTCATCGGTCTCTGCTAATTTAGTGAGCTCTTGCTGAATCATGTCCCTTATGTCTACTTTCCTAGGACTCAGATCGGCATCAAACTGCTGAGCTGAATGGTAGAAAAGACGATTCAATATCTAAATGATAATGGTAAGAGCAATAAAATATTTGCAGACTGAATTCCAATACCATGGAGAGCTTCAAAAAATTATTTGTTTGTTGAAAAGCTTATTTAGGATAGAAGGACCGTCGTTTGATGTAGCATCTTATTGAGAAGTCGATGTACAGTATGAATTGCATTGGTGAATTTATCATCCCAAAATCTAATAGAAGTTCTTAGTTAGTACATGTTTAAGAAAAATTCAGGGAAAAACTTACCAAGTAGATTAATAATGTCGGTGAAGGTTGCCTGAACAAAGAGAGAGTATTATCATTTAAACAAAAACACTGATGAATAAGAAACTATACAATGATGGCATTAGAAACTAAATTGGAAAAATTAAGATAATCCCACATTTCACTACCACAAAAAAAGTAACAAATGAAGGGGGAAAAAAAAAAAA